GTGGGCAGATGGGAATTCTCACTGGAGGGACTGTAAAGTGGTGTAGCCACATCAGTAATGGATTGAGATTTCCTTAAAATGTGGGTCATCCTGAGGCTCAAACAGAGACTTGAACATCAATGTCCATAGCAGCGTTATTCACCATCGCAAGGACATGCAAATGGCCCAGCTGTCCAACCACAATCAGATGGTTTGAGAAGCTGTGGTACATTCACACAATGGAATACTATGCAGCACGTAGGAGCAATGATCTTGTAAATTACTACTTAACTTGCTTGGGAGGGACTGGAGAGTATTATGCTGAGTGAACTAACTCAGTCCCACAAGGACAAATACTATGTAAAACCATCATTGTAGAATGAGTATGAGGATCCAAGGTGGCAGGGAGGGTGGAAGCAGTGCGGTGAGGAAGTGTGGGGGTGGGGGGATGGGGAATTAATCACGGGGTTCTACACTTTGATGAGTGGGGGGAGTGAGGGAAATGAGAAGGATCTGGTATGAAAAACAATATATTCAAATTTTGTTAGTATAAAACATAATGCAAAATAGAAAGTATATGAATGATTATATGAAACACAATGTAAATGAAATCTTGTATAAACAGTGCATATGAATGACACATACTGTAAAGGCATTATTATATGAAAATCAGTAAAAAATAATTTTTAAACAGTGTCTCATCATCGTGCCACGTGACCGGTCAGCCCCAGTCCAGGCCTAGACCCAGCAGAAGTGAAGGCGGAAATGCAGATAGAGACCTGCGGCTGACGTCCACAACGGCCAGAACGTCCACCAACAGACGGGTGGTGGACACCACAACACAGTGCACCCCACGGAGAAGAGTAGTCCTAGTGTGCGGTGTCACCAAGTGACAACCCTTGGACGCGTCACACTGGGTGAGATGTTGGGTGTAAGAAGACATGATGTAAGCCCTCGTTAATATGAAATACACAAATACAACTCCCAAATCACAGTGGTTACCAAGAGCAGGAAGAGGAAAAACGCTCAACCCACCGCGGTCACGGAGGGTCCGAGCTGGGCCTCCAGTGGGTTTTCAGAAACAGGGATTTGAACCACCTGCCTTGGGGATGGCGTGCAACTCCTTACCCACTAGGCCACCAGCTTTTGGCTGGGGTGGGGGGCATGAGTTTATGCAGACGGTGGGGGATGGGGGGGACTAGCGGGGATGGTTGTGGAATCAGAAGTCTGAACGTCACTGTACAGTGTGCAGAGACCCTGAGAGGGAGTGAGCTCCGCTAGGGGTGTGCTCGCCCCAATAAAAAGAAAAGAAAGGACTTGACACGGGTCAGACTCCAAGGTGGCTCACTGTAACTCTGGGATGTAAATCCTGCTGCGCGTGTCTTTTTAAGGAGCCCTGGTGGTGCAGCGGTTAAGTGCTCAGCACCACGTGTGATTTGAACCCACAGTGGACCATGAGGACATCTGCTCCTGTGAACAGGTACAGCCTTGGAAACCCAGGCGGGGTTGGGGTAGGGTCACAGGAGACAGAATGAACTGGACAGCACACAAAAACACCCCTGTTTTCAGTACAGGGAAGCTGAGGCAGAGATGTTCAGAAGGCTCCCAGGGGCACACTGAAAGTCTGGGATTTGGCCTGGGCCACTCAGATGGCCTGGTCTCTGTGGTCATTCCAGCCTGAGGTTGTAAGTTGTCTTCAAGCAGAGAGAGAGAGAAGCCATGGTGACCAGACAGGATGCACACAGGGCAGAGCTCAAGGTCACAGCCCGCCCAGCCTCAGCTCCCAGGGTCCGCCTCTGCTCCAGCGTCCCAGTGCCTTCCCTCCTCTCAGAAGGCTGCCGGTTCCTCCTGTTATAAAATGCCATGCCAAAACGGGCTCTAATAGTGGTGGTATTGTTCCCACAAAATGCCACAGGCCAGGCCAGCACAACAGGGTGACAAGCCAGCTAGGTTCAGCCCCTTGGCTCCTCTGAGCGGCCACGCTGAGGCCCGAGACCAAGGGGCACAAAGGCTGGCTTTCCCAGTGCTGCTCTCAAAGTCAGGAGGTTGGGTCCTAAATCTTCGTTAAATCAAAGCTTTGCATTGGGAACCTCAGAACTTCCTCACCTCCAAAATCATAGGCACCCCCAGATAACCAAACCCCAGAAGGTGAGTAGTGACCCTGAGAGACACCCTGTGTTGAATAAAGAGGGCTCTGAACCCAAAGTCAAGATGGAAAGAAGCTGTACATAGTCGTTGATTACAACAGTCAGGAAATCAAGCAATGCCTTAGTCTGCTAAAGCGATCTGCAGCAAAGGGCCCTTTAGAGAGCGACAAACCGAAGATACCTCTCCAGAGAGCATTTGTAATCACGTCATATGCACGTGAAAGCTGGACCATGAATAAGGGTCAGGGAAGGACTGATGTCTTGAAGGTGTGGAGGCTGAGGACGACACACAGACGGACGGCCTGTCTTGGAAGTCTGGTCAGAACGCTCCTTAGAGGCAACGACGGCGAGCCCTCACCTCACATCCTTGGGGCGTGTTCCCTGGAGAAGCCAGTCCTCAGAGGGCACCATGCTTGGTAAAACAGAGTCAGTGAAAACAGGAAGACCTTCGACTAGATGGGTGACATGGGGGCTCAAACATGGCAACGCCTGAGAGGGTAGAGCAGGATGGGACAGTGTTGCTCTGTCCGACATCAGGATTGAGATGACACACCTAACAACACTGATGCACGGGGCAGGCGGGGCTCAGATCGGCTGCCCCGGGCCGCTGTGAGCTGCATTCGAATCGATGGCACCTAATAACCCCACCAGATCGTGTAATAAAGCTGGGTTTCCTAACTGACTGGCTCTTGTTTGACATGAAGTCCCAGGGTGGCACAAAGGGGGTAGATGCTTGACTCCTGACAGGAGGGCTGGCTGTCCAAGTCCCTGCCCTAAGGGAACCTTGGAAGAAAGGCCTGGTGACTATTTCCAAACAATGGTGGATGAGGTGATTCCCTGGAAGTTTTGGGAACGCACTTCTACTCTGATGCGCATGGGGTCGCTGTGAGTCCACGCTGAGTGACGGGTATTGGCGTGGCGGCAGCAGCAGTAGGGAGTGGTTGTTGTTGTCACGTGCCCTGGAGTCGACTATGACTTGCACCCACCTGTGAACAACACACCTGAGCCCTGTCCTGTCCTGCACCATCCTCACGGATAGTCACCCTGTCAATCCATCTCATTGAGGGTCTTCCTCTCTTGCGCTGACCCTCCACTTTTCCCAACATGATGCCCCGCTCCAAGGATTGGCCCCTGTTTATGGTAGTTGGTCAACACACCCACAGGCAGTCCCTTCACTGGCCCAGGGCATTCACTACTTAAGGGTAGTTCCCGCCAGACAGAAGACCCATCAGGTCTGATTAGAAGCATTCTGACGAACCAACTCCTGGAGCCCACTTGCTGACTGCATTTCCTCTTCTTAATGCAGATTACATAAACTTGCTTGCTGAAACTGAGGAAGGCCTGAAGGATTTGCTGCAGAGGGTCAGTGACCCTCTGTGTGCAATAGGGATTGAAGCTCAGTATCAAGAAAATGAAGATTTTTTTCACCACTGGGCAATATGCAGCATCATGACAGATGGAGAAGAGATTGAGGTTGTTAATAATTATAGCTTGTTTGGTTCCACAATCAACACTCTTGGCACCAGCAGTCAGGAATTCAAAAGATGAATTGCATTAGGGAAATCAGTAATCTTTCCAGAATGCTAAAGAGCAGCAATATCAGTCTAGAGACTAAGGTGCACCTGATACAGACCAGGTTCTTTGCAATTACTTGTTATAGAGAGCTAGACAATTACCCAAGATGACAGAAGAATTGATGCCTTTGAATTGTGGTGCTGGAGAAGAGTACTGAACATACCATGGACCGCCAAGAGAACAAACCAGTCTGCCCCAGAGAGGGGGAAACCAGGCTGCTTTTTGGAGGCTAGGATTTTGAAGCTCCATCTCACATACTTTGGGTATGTTGCCAGGAGGGACGAGTCCTTGGAGAAGGATATCATGTTTGGAAGGGTGGAGGGTCAGTGCAGGGGAGGAAGACCCCGATGAAATGTTGTTGTTGTTGTTATGTGCCATCGAGTCATTTCCGACTCATAGCGACCCTATGCACAACAGCTCTAAACCCTGCTCTATCCTGCACCAACCGATGAGATGGACTGACAAAATAATGAGGGTAGGTGTGCCAGAGACATTGGGATTAGCTCAGGATAGAGCACGGTTCAGAGTTACTGTGCGCAGAGTCACTGAGTTGTGGTTGACCTGAGGGGTACACAACAACATGTGAATGGGACTTTTGCTGATTCCCTACTAAGGCACACAGAGGCAGCTCCTCAGCAAAGGCCCTCTTTCCCATGTCCACCTAAGGAAGGGACTGTGCACAGAGAGTGGCGATGTCTGCTGAGACCACACTGAAGCCTGGCGGCTAGGACGCGCCCTCTGCACACAGCAACACTCAACACGGCAGCGTGCGACACGAGGCAACTTGCCACCCTCCAAATGCCTCTCAGAAAATTCTCGGGCTCGCCCAGAACCGTAGTACAGTCTTGGAATTTCAGAGCGTGAGAGGCCTCCAGAGACAAGCCAGTCCAACCTCCCCATCACAAGTGGGGAAACTGAGCCCAGAGAAGGGCCACGGTCGTCCAGGAAGACTCCCAGAAGGGCTGTGCCGTCCACCCCCTGAGCCTGTAAAAGCTCCCGGGAAGGGAAGGAAGTGGCCAGAGCAGGAAATGACCCCAAGGTCATCTCTGTGAAGGTCAGCCCTGGCCCAGCAGATGCGGCCTGGGGGCAAGCGGCGGGGGCTGGGTTGTACTCTCAGAGCTTCTAAGAAACCATTTCCACTTAGCATTCACCCACACCACGGTGTGTGCTCACTACTCAGGCCAAAAACGATGACAGGAAGACATCCCACACGGCAGTGCGCAAGCCCAACAGCCTGCCCCCCTGCCCCTGCCCCCGTCCCCCCTGTTCCCCACCAACAAAAGAAGTGGGAATAGTTACATCCTCGTCCCGCTCCAGCTCCAGGCCGGCCTCCAGCAGGTTCCCCTCGTACTCCTCCCTACGGAACCTCTTGTCATCCTCGTGGTAGTCCATGGAGGGCTCAGGTCCGCCCGCTTCCACTGAGGACCCCTTTCCTGGCAGGGGCTGGCCCTCCTTGACGCTGCGAGCTTCTGAAGGGGTGTCACTGTGCTGGACCCTCCTGGCCAGGGTCTTGCTGCCGGAGGTCCGCTTGTGGTGGTACACCAGGATGTAGTCCACTTTCCGCTTGCCATCTCGGAAGTACAGGCCATATTTGCACTGGGCGTCAGGATTCACTGACAGAGAGTTCAGCAACTAAGAGGGAAGAAAGGAAAGCCACCAGAATCAAGCTGCTGGTGACGAGTCTTCCAAAGGAGCCAACTGAATCTCTCCCCCACCACTCACCCACCCATCCAGATGTCCGCCCTTCCATCTACCCACCCATCCAGATGCCCACCCTTCTATCTGCCCATCCATCCACTTAGCCATCCACCAACCATTCACCCATATACCTGCCCATCCACCCACCCATCTAACCACCCATCCATCTACCCATCCAACCATCCACCCATCCATCTGTACATCCATCTACCCACTCATCCATTCATCCAACCACCAACCATTCACTCATATACCTGCCCATCCAACCATATACCACCCACCCACTCATCCATCCATCCACCCACCCAACCATCCGTATACCCACCAATCCATCCATTCACCCATATAACAACCGTCCATCCATCAACCATCCACCCATATACCTACCCATCCATTCACATGCCCACCCATCCATCCACCCATCCATCTATACCCACCCATTCATCCCTATGCCTGCTCATCTATCCATATACCCCCATCTATCCACTTACCCATCCATCCATATATCCATTCATCCATCCACTCACCCATCTATCATCAATATGCCCACCTATCATTTATTCATCAACCATCTACCCACCATCCATTCATAAGCCTACGAATCCATCCATATACCCATCCATCCATCCGTCCATCCATCCATCCATCCACCCATCCATCCATCCATCCAAAAAAATCATCATCCTTTCTTCTATATATCCAACCATCTATCCATTCATCTTCCTTCTATCCATCTTCCCGTTAATGCATTTAATATTCTTTCCTTCTTTCCTCCCAGCTTGCTGTTATCCTTCTATCCATCCACTCATTAATTTTGCTTTCCCTTCTTCCCCCTTTCCCTCCCTCCCTCCTTCTCCTTCCTCCCTCTCTCCACCCTCTCATCTACCCAGTTGTCCATCCACTCATCCATTTAGCCTTCCTTGCTTTCATCCACGTCTCCTTTTTCCTTACCCACCTTCTTCCCTTCTATCCACCCTTCCTTCCATCATCCAGTTAACTCTCTTTCTTTTCATCTATTCATTCATCTTTAACCTTTCATCCATCCAGTCACTTGCTCAGTCACTTATTTAATCGCTCATTCAAACACTTCTTCATTCACTCACATGTTAATTCTTTGCTCACTCACCCACCACTCACTCACTCACCCACTCACTTCTTCATTCAATACTTACAGAAGCTGCTCTGAACCAAGCACTGTCCTACAGCTGTACCACCCAGGACACGGCAGCTAGGTGCTGCTTTCAGAGTGGACACTGGCTGCTAGTCAGTCCTGGGGCTGCCCAGAGCCCATCTTCAGCTCTAACACACAGGGGAATGAGGGTCCTGGGTGCCATGAGGGGGGCTGTGAAGGCTACAAGTCCAGACCACCAAGGGAGGGTTCTCCCACACAGGGAGAGCCTCAGGTGGGTACCGTGAGCTGTGGTCCTACTGGGCAGAGCACCCACGGTGCCTCCATATCATGACCACAGTGGACACAGCACAGCAGCCTGACCTTTAAAGTCCTGGTACAATCGAAGAGAATGCGGGCTTGATGTGGACAATCTCACCACGCTAATATCACCAAGCAATTGTGCGGGAATCGTCAAATGGGAACCTGGCAAACACTATCAAAAGCAAAAGAGCGGGCAGCGGCGCACCCACAAAGCAGGTGAGGATGCGGCAGTGCGGGCTGCAGCTGAAAGTGTTTGTCCCCTGCCTGGGCTTGGACATCAGCTCCGTCACTGGCTAACGAGCTGTGCTATCCCAGGCACAACACTCAGCCTCTCTGTGCTTTTTTCCCTCTGTTAAACTGGGGCAGGGACAATAAGACTTATCCTGCGTATGAAGAAGCCTTGGTGGCATCGTGCATATGCATAGAGCTGCTGACTGAAAGGCCAGTGGTTTGAGTCTTACCACCCCTTTTGGGGAAGCATGTTGAGCAGGACCCTTGCCGAGTGATTTACAACTTTAAGAGCCCGATGGTGAGTCACTGAGTCAGCATCAACTCGATGGACTGAGCTTGCTTGATTTGGAGGGACCTGGAGGCAGTTGTCAGAACAGAGCAAGGAAGCACTGCATGATTAAAAATTGGGAAGGGTGTGCGTCAAGGATGTGTCTTTTCAATCTATATGCAGAACAGATCATCCGGGAGGCTGGGCTCTATGAGGAGAAGTGTGGCATCAGGATTGGAGGAAGATTCATCAATAATCTGCATTATGCAGATGACACAACCCTGCTTGCCGAAACTGAGGAGGACCTGAAGCACTTGTTGCAGAAGGTCATAGACTGCAGCCTTCAATACAGATTGAAGCTCAACATCAAGAAAACAAAGATTCTCACCACAGGGACAACTGGCAGCATCAAGATAGATGGTGAAGAGGCTAAGATTGTTAACAGCTTCCGTTTGCTTGGCTCCACAATCAACACTCTGATACCAGCAGCCAGGAAATTAAAAGATGAATTGCAATGGGAAAGCCTGTTGTCAGATACCTCTCCAAAGTACTGAGGAGCAACGATGTCAGTCTGGAAACTAAGGTGCGCCTGATACCGGCCATGGTCTTTGCAATTACTTGCTATGCATCAGAGAGCTAGACAATGACTAGGGATGATAGAAGGAGAGTTGATGACTTTGAGCTGTGGTGCTGGAGAAGAGTGTTGAGTATACCATGGACTGCTAGGAGAACAAGTTCATCCTGGAGAGGGTGAAGCCAGGCTGCTCCTTAGAGGCAAGGATTCTTAAGCTTTGTCTGAGATACTTTGGACATGTTGCAAGGAGGGACCCATCCTTGGAGAGGGACATCATGCTTGGGAGGGTGGAGGGAGAGCGCAGGAGAGGAAGACTCTCAATGAGATGGATTAATGCAGTGACTGAGGTAATGGAGGCAGGCGTGTCAGAGACAATAAGATTGGCAAGGGATAGAGCAGGGTTTAAGGCTGTTGTATATAGGGTCACTATGAGTTGCGGGTGACTTGACAGCACATACCATCAACAACCACAAGATGACATGATGGTGGGAAGACAGAGGGCCAGGAAAAGAGAGGACGACCTTGGACAAAATGGATTGACACAGTGGCTGATGATGGACCTAGCATGTAGGAGGCCGTGAGGACAGGGCTGGACAGGGCAGGGTTCACGCGGTCACCATGAGTCTCCGTTGACAGCACCAGCCAGCACCACCATGACTTCCTTTACAGGATTATCAGGAGGACTGTTGTTGTGTGCTGTCGAGTCGGAATGACTCATAGCTGGCCCTCCCACAGGTTTTCAGAGGCTGTAAATCACAGGAGAGGAGACTGCCCATTTTCCTCCTGTGGAGCAGCTGGTGGATTCGAACCATATGCCTTTGGGATTATAGGGCAGCTTCTTAGCACTCGGCCACCAGAGCTCCCTGTCTGGAGTACTAAGCATGTTTATATGCAAGTCAGATGCCTTAGTCACAATTCCACCACAGCTCCTTCTACACATAACACGTACAGCTGAATCGCTCCCTGGTGGTGCAGTGATTAGACACCTGGTTTCCAACCAGAAGGCTGGCGGTTCAAACTCGCCAGCCACTCACAGGAGAAGGAAGAGGCATCTGCGTCTGTCAAGAAGACTGCCTTTAGACCCTGCGGACAGTCCCCCTCTGTCCCCCAGAGCTGCTCTGAGCTGGAATGGACCTGTCGTGGTGCTTACACACCATACACACATGTATAGGGAGCGCTGGGGAGTAGTCTGTAGGGTGGCGTGCTCCTAATCCAAAGCCACATCTCCAGTGGTTCAAATCCACCAGCAGCTCCACAGGAGAAAGATGGCAATCTTTCTCTAATTTTGAGTTTTGTGTTTTAAGTATATAGACAGCAGTCAAGAGATCAGGAGACACATTGCATTGGGAAAGTCCTTTATCAGCACCCTCTCAAAATTACTGAAGAGCAATGATGTCAGTTTGAGGACTAAGGTGTGTCAGATTCAGGCCATGGTCTTTTCAGTCACTTGCTATGCATCTAAGAGTTGGACAATGAATAAGGATGACAGAGTAAGAATGCTTTTGAACTATGCTATTGGAGAAGAGTGCCAAATACCCAATGAACTTCCAAGAGAACAAACAGATCTGTCCTGGAGAAGGTGCAGCCAGAGTGCTCCTCGGAGGCAAAGATGATGAAGCGTCATCCCACACACTTTGGCATGTTGCTAGGAGAGGCTATTCCTTGGAGAGCGACATGATGGTGGGGAAGGTAGAGGGACAGTGAAGGAGAGGAAGACCCTCACCTCAGTGGATTGCTGCAATGGGCTTGAGTGTGTCAGAGATGATGACGACAGGGCTTGACTCTATTGTCCACAGGGTCTCTACGAGCTGTACTTGACAGCACCTAATAACAACACACACATAAATAAATATTTATACAGAGGAGCCTGGTGGCCTAACGGTAAGGAACTGTGCTGCCAACCCAAAGGCAGGCAGTTTGAATCCACCATCGAATCCGCAGGAGAAAGATGGGCAATCTTCTACCACGAGATTTATTGCCTCTGTAACGTTGGGTATCATCCAGACTGGTTCAGACTGGATAACGCATCACCAAAGAGTCCTCCATAGAAGTTTTCTCTACTTTTGAATTCAGACACATGCCCATGATAAAGGATCAGATGAGAGCAGGGAAAATAATCTCATGGTCACAAGCAGAAGAGGCTTGGCTGTGCTGAACCCCGATTTCTAAATTACAAAAGAGCTGGATGCTGGGACCAGAAGGGGGCAGCACAGAGCACTGGCACAGGACTTGCCATGTCGTTGACTTGCAGGCGATGGTGGGGTCACTGACGTGTGTCTTCATCTCTCAGGTCTTAGTTCTATGAAACGGAGATGAGCCTTCCTGGGTCGGTTTAAGGCCCTAGCTGACTTGAAGCAGAACGGGTGTGCTCCCTCCCAGGGAGATTCTAAAAGGGCAGGGAGTGCTGGACTTGGAGGAGTCAGGGAGGCAGTCACTCAGCCAGAAACAGCAGAAAAAGTTAGAGGAAGTAGTTTCCTTGCTCATGACAAGACAAAAGGGCAAAGATCTGAAGCACAGGGGGAGGAGCGGGGAGGGGGGAGATTCATGCATAACTTTCTAGTCAAAGGATCCCAAGGTGGGCAAGGGCTCCTGAGCCCCTTTGTTGGGCTTGAAGGGCTACTTATCTGCCTTTTAATAGTTGCATCCAAATACACTCTCGCCAAATGAAAGGAGTGAATTTTAAACTACAGCAGTTCAGGCTTTGATGAACCTGGCAGTGGCCCCCAGAACCAAGGACAGGAAGATGGGATCTAGTCCTGACAGCAACTTAACAGGGGGCTCCCCAGCTCTGAACCTTGGTATTCCTGTCTGAGAGATGCAGATGAAAAAAAAAAATCTTGACTTATGGCATAGGCTTCCAGGGACGAGAACGTGGGCTGAAAACCCAACCCCAACCCAGCCTGTTCAGTTAATTCTGACCTGTGGTGATCCCTTCCCCACCCTGCAACAGACTTCCGAGGCTGAAAATCCTAACAGGAGCAGATCATCTTTGTTTTCTGCTGCCAGGTGGACTTGAAACACAGGCCTGTCAGCTAACAGTCCAACACACAATGCACTCTGCCACCATGGCTTCTTCAAAAGGAGAATGAAAGATGTCCCAAAGACAAGGTCCTGAACATTTGGGGAAAGTGCTCTGGGAAGGTCAGAAAATGGTTTTAGAGAACGGCCTTCCAGGGATTTCCAGGGGAAATGGCTCAGGACAGTGGAGTGTCCCGCAGCCCTCTAACAAACTCTCCAAGAGGGAACAGGGTCCATGTCTCCTCCCAAACTCTGAGAGAAGAGCTGAAGAGGGTCCTGGAATTGCACCCACACCCATGGACACTGGCCTAGGACATGAAGCCTCTTTAATTTGGCTTCCTTTCTGGTGGCCCAGTGGTAAGAAGCTGCACTGTAATCCCAAAGGCACATAATTCAAATCCACCAGCTGCTCCAAGGGAGACGGGTGGGAAATCTCTCCCCATGCACTTTACTGCCCGTGAAAGCCCGCTGGAGGGCCAGCTGCAGACTGGTTCTGACTCAACAGGACATAACAACATCAGCGGTCAGCTCTGAGGACGTAAGCCCTCATTCGTGGGAATTTTTCAAAGTGGCAGCAAGTTTGATGGGGTCCTTCGGAAACCAACCTGCAAAATATCCTACAGTCTCAGGAACCTTTGGGTTTCAGAACCTGGGGGGGTCCGTGTGAAAGCAACCCCCTCACCTTCAGACTTTTAACACCAAGCCACTAGCCCTGCAATTTGTTTTGGATAAATGGACCAGCTCCGTCATCCAAACACATCACGTCAAACTGAACAGGAGCAAGATACCTGCCGCAAGTGTCCCGGGGGTGGGGGTGGGGTCTGACCTTGTCTGGGACACACAGCTCTGGGCGGGTACCCCAGGAAGGCCCATGTGGAGAAGAGAGAAATGCTCAGAGATGCATGAAAAGAGAGAACTCAGCGTGCTGGCGCAGCCCCTGCTGTGTGTGTGGACGTGTGTGATGCCTCCTTGCAGGAAACCGTGAAATTATTTCATCCCTGAGTCTGGTGAACGAGAGAGAACCCTGCAAGGGAGGGGCTTATTCCCGTTTAAATTCCGCTGTCTGGAAATGGGGTTGGCGCCTTTTGAAATGCAGCCCACACCCTCTGGCCTTCCTGTGCCGGAGTGACTCAAGGTCCCCATGAGCAGTAATTATTGGCTTCAGGGGAGTGGGGATGCCCTGGGAGCTGCCCCCCCCTGCCCCCCCGTGAGCTGCACAGACAAGCCCGGCTCCTGGGGCTGCGGCTCCAGCCTGCCCACGGTCATCCCACAGGCCAGCACCCTGACCACAGCCCCGCGCCCACCTGCAGCCCACCTACACCAAACTCGGGTGTAGACGGATTCAGTGGCACCTTCCAGCAGTGGCCCAGGTGACCTCTGCAGGCTTTGGGGCTCTGGGATGTGTTTAGGGTGACTGGCACCTTCTGGTTCCAGATGTCCCAGGAGTCGCTGCACTAGAACTAGGACCAGGAGTCACTGGGAAGGGAAGGCGACCACTTCATGTCTTCACGCCCAGGCCACCTCCCTGAGAGCGCCACCTGCGCTTCCCCTCCTCCTCAGCTCACGCCCCATTTCCTGCATCTGCAGCCTGGCGGGTGCTGCCGGCCCCTTCTCTGTGCAATGCCTGCTCCTCCGAGGTCTTTCTGTGACAGGGCCCCTTCCCGGCCTCCGACACTCACACCTCCCCTCATCCTAGTCCCTGCGGGCACCTGGGAGCCAGTGCTCTGTCCCTCAGGGCCTGCAGCACTGCTGGGAGAATACCACAGGTTAACACACAGCAATCTGGCATGGACACTGGGCTACGGAAGTGGCCCTGGCCCTGCCGGCTCATGTTCCCTGCAGGCAAGGGTGCTTGGAGGGGAGGGGCCCTGCCTGTACATTCAGTGCGGTGTCCAGGCCGGCACCGCTGAGTACACATGCCCCCTCCAGAGTCCCAAGGCCTGTGCCAACTCCTCCCAGTGGACTTCTCCTCCTAGCCCACGTTTATGCCCTATGGCTCCCAGTTGCAGAGGAAGCCCCCACTCAAAACCCAGGGTGTGTCCACAAGAGGGCACAGACCTGCCAGTCCTGGTCCCCCCCCCTTCTCCAGCCAGATCAGAACTGAGGGGCAGGCAGGGGCACGCCCAGCTTCCCAGGCAGGCCCCTGAGCCCTGAGGGCTGCCCCCTGGCTGGAGAGCGAGGCCCCAGTCTCCTGCTGAGTGGCTTTGTCTTTGTCTCCTTTCTCCTAGCAAACTTTGAATTCGTCATGTCCAAGTCCTCAAGAAGGGATTCTGGCTGGGGGGACCCCAGACGGCTGAGTGCAGCTCCAGGGAAGTGGGGGCCTACAGAGGGCTGGAGTTAGGGGTCCCTAATCACGTGGCAGGCTCCTGGCCCATCAACACGCCCTGGATAGCCCACCACAGCCTCTATCCTCAGGAGGATTGGGGAGGGGGCAGGGCTGTGCTTCTAGAAGTCGCCCTCAGGAGTCCCAAGCCACCCCTCCCCCGCCCGGCACTGGGCCTCCTGAGACTGACAACACGCCCCTGGGACTCCTGTGTTCCTGGCAGGCGGAGGAGACCTCAGCAAGGGGGGGGGGGCTCAGAGGGGCACGACAGCCACCCTAGGGTGACGACACGGTGGAGTCTGTCGGCTACAACCTTCTCAACATTCTTCTGCCTACCCTCTCTCTGCCTCAATTACCCTGATGGGTACCCCAGGCCGAGAGCAGGGAAGGGAGTGTCCCGGGGCCCCAACTGTGTGCGCTGGACCCTGGAGCCCTCGGTGCCAGCTAGTCCCAGCCGGGGCACTGCATTCAGCGGGGCGCTGGGGCTGTGCGTGTGCTGGCGGCCGAGAAGCGCGCAGCGGGGTCCACGTGCGCAGGTGGGCACCAGGTGCGCGGTGTGGAGGGTGCGGCTCGTGGTCCTCCAGGCCCGGTGGCCGCCGCCGCGCGCTCTCCGCCGGTGGCGCAGGTGTGGACGCGGTGCCCGCCCGCCTGCCCGCCCGTGCGCGCCCCACTCACCGTGCCCTCGGATGGCAGGAAGCCGATGTCCTCGATGGCGCAGATGTTGATGATGTGCACGCTGCGGTCCTCAGCCGGGAGCGTCGAGTACTTCTCGTGGACCCTCATCGCGGCCGCCTGTGCGCCGGGCCGGCCGGGCGGCGCGCCCTCCCCATCCACGGCCCCGGCGGCCTCTGCAAGCCGAGAGGAGCGGTGGCGGCGCGAGCGCAAGGCCCGGCCTCCCGCTCCGCCCCGTGCGCTCAGCCCGCCCGGCCCACCATGCGGTGCCGCCAGCGGCGTCCGACGCGACCCGATCCGCCGGCCGAGCCGGCTGGGACTCCCGGGCGATCCGACGGCGCCGCCGCGGGCCTCCGCCTCTCGAAGCACAGCCATCCGCGCTCCCCCGCCGGCGAGGGCAGGGGCGGCGGCCGCGCGGTCAGATTTTCCGTAGAAATTTAAACCCAGGAAGAAAGTATTTCATTCCTGCGGGACCCCCTCCAAGTTTTATTTTTATCTGGAGAAAATGCCCCTTTGAGGTTTTTTCTTTTAAAGGATTTTTGTACCGGGGTTGGGGGGGAAACCATCCCGAAGACCCCACCTTAAAACGCAAAGTCCAGGACGCTTGCTCGCTTCTCTCCACTGGCTGCTTGGCACCGGGAAGGCCGGCGCTCGCTCCCCTCCAGCCGCTGGCAAGCCCTGGGGCCTCTGCACTGACGCCTCCTCCTCCCCGGGGGAGGCTTCCCTAGTTCGTACAGACCCGCCCTCCCCTGCAGGCCTGGAGTCTCCGCGCATCTCCCCCACCATGAACTTCTCCGGATGTGCAGAGCCCCGATTTATGCAGCACCCAGGATTCCAGGCCAGGCAGGGGAACCCCTTACACCATCCTCTAATCCAGCTCGCACCCACGGCGTCACCAAAGTCTATCCTGTCCTAGCACCCATCCTGGTCGACTGTAGGGGTCCTCTACCGCTGCCCCTCATGGGGGGCCTGGACTGGATTTTGTTCTCTCCAGTTTCAGAGGCCTGGCACACAGTGGACGTTGTATGAGACAAGCTTCCAACACCCCATATTTACAGGCCCTCCGGTCAGCCTCTCTCAGGTTTAGAGCCCTCCAGGGCCACCCCTGCAGCTTTACCCAAAGAGGACATCCCTGTACTCTAAATCACTGTAGGGTGCAGCCTGTCACTCCTTCCAAGTGCACAACAAACGCCACCTCCTCCAGGAAGACCTCTGGATTTCCCCTCCTTCCCCCACCCCCAGTCCCCACCTCCACTGTGCCTAGCCCTCCCCCTCCTCCTCTCACCCAAGTTGTCTGCCAGGTCACACAGATGGCACTCAATCAGTGTTGAAGGCCAGCAGACCCCCACCCCCACCCCAACACAGTGCCCACTCAAGTATTCAGACAACTACTACCCAAGTGTCTGAGCTGTTAGTGTCCTGATGTTCAACTCAACACAGTCCTGTGGAGTGGGAAGGGTTTCAGAGGCTGTGGACGCCACAGGAGGAGCATGCTCATGGTTCGCCAAGTGAGAGGCTGGTGGACTTGAACTCCCTGCCTTCGGGTTGGCAACACAACCCCCTACCACCAGAGCTCCCCACTCAAGAGATCTGGTGACTCCCAGTCCCTCGGGCCCATGGACCCCAGGCAGTCACTTTATTCAGCAGTGTGCTTGGAGCACGCCAGAGCCACAGACACACATGCTGTGTAGCGGACAGACCACACACAGATATCCAGGGCCCAGGTCATGATGTCATAGCAGGACCTGACCCCTAGAGTGGACTCTGGATGCAAACAGGGTTGGGGGGGGGCTGAGTCTAGGGACAATGCTGGTCCTCAGCTGTCCTTTGAACTTGGACAGGACACCCTCACTTCACAGACCTCCATGCTCACACATGCAAGAAGCACTATGAGGGTCCCCAGTTTTGGTCTCAGGCTATGGGCTGGAACAAGACAAGGAGCCAGAGGGCTGCCAGGTTTTGGGGCTGGCCACACCCCACTGGAGTAGCCCTCCACCACTGCTGCTGACCTGGGGAGACGGCCTTTGAAAAGCTCAAACATTCAGGGCCGACAAGAAACATGCACGCACACACACCTGTGCACGTGCCTTTTATACGTGCACGTGTACACATGCATACACGTATGCACACGGGCACCCAGCCATGCACTCACATGCCTGTGTAGTCTGTAACGGCATCTTTTTATTCTGGGTCCCAGGTCACATGACTCCAATGTGCTGTCACTCTAAGGTGACATCCACGTAGCAGGCATCTCACAGAATTCCAGGTACCTAAACGGACTTGGCCAATTCTGGGTATGTGGCATTCCCACGTGTTTGTTTAGAACAGGACACAAGATGGTTGGCCGTGAGGGGGGTCTGGGGCTGGACCCCTTGGGAACAGTCTGGTTGGCAGTGACTCCCCCAGTCCTCATGGGACAACACCCCCTGTGGCCTGGCTGAAGGAGCTTCATTGACTTATGTTGGAACTCTGGTTGCAAAATGGTTAAAATGCTTGGCAGTTAACCAAAAGGTTGGTTGTTCAAAGCCACCAGGCACCTCAAAGAAAGCAGGCCTGGGCGACCGTCTACTGCAGACAGTCTCTGTTTGGTGTTTGACTCTGCTTTTCAGGGTCACTTTGAGTGAGAATCAACTCAATGGCACCTGAAGATCGCCGGCTGGACTGGGAGTCACCCCTTTCCTTGCCATGCGTCTGGGGTTTTGTTTTCTGCAGCTGCACCCTCCAGCCAGCTTCCTCCTCCCTCTTCCAGGAAGACAAGACGCTTCACCAAGGACAGAGGACACTCAGCGAGGGCTCTGTGAGAGCTGGAGCCTAAAGACAGGCGAGGGTCAAGAATCCCCAGACCACGACGGGCTGCACTAGGCGCTGTGCCTTCGGGGCCTGGGACACTAACAAATGGTGAGACTAGCAGCATCGGCGGTGGCCCTGGGTGGGCCTTGTGGTCCCTGTGAGGCTGGGGAACTCTCCAGGCCCTAATTCTAGATGGGCACATGTCCCTACACCTTCGGTCAGCAGCTGAGCTCTCACACCATCCGCATCTCCTGGGAAATGCAGGCGTGTTTAAGAATATCCTCCGACAGTTTTAAGACTTCTTCAGGAATGTTTAGTTTTGTTTAAACAAAAACAAAATAAAAACAAACCATACTGTTGCCGTGGAGTCAGTTCCCATGTGGAAGGGTCCTGAGTGTGTCGGAGGAGAGCCGTGCCCCACAGGGCTGTCAAAGGGGGAATCCTTGGTTGGTCACTAAGCCTTCCTTCCAAGGTATTTCTGATGGACTGTAAGCACAGACCCCTGGCTCAGCAGCTGGGCGCTTGAATTTCATACCACCAGGGGCTCCAACGGGCCCCTAAAAATCTGGGGGGAGGACCAGAATTCTAAGTGTGATGTCATTCAGTACTGGAAGCCCTCCCAAAGGCCCTTTACTGGGTAGGTGACCTCACTCTAGCATTTCCTGTCCTGGTCTCTGTCACATGGGCCGTCTGGTTGGGAGTCTGGACCACTGACTGCTTACAAATGAACCATCTTGGTAAGTGGTGGGGTTAATTTTGTGTTTTCTGCTTTTTAGTTCAGTGGATTTCACCCCCAAGGACCCCAGGGCACAGACTGCGGCTGCAGGGTCAAGCCCCCAATCAAGAATTCGTCAAAAGCAACCTCTTCACCTGAATGCTGGGTTTTATTGCGGCAGCGTCTTCGCTCCGGCCGCCTCCCTGCCCTTCCGTGCCATCTGTGAGGTCACGCACTGTCAGCCACTTGCGTCTTTGGTGACATTTCAGCAGCCACCAGGAACGCCGGCTCTGAGTGAGGAGGCTCTGGGGACCGTGAAGGACGAAGTCATTGCGAGAGTGACTGACCCGTCATCCTGGCTGCCATTGGGTCAGCTCCCGAGGACCCCATGCGTGTCGGAGGAGAGCCGCCCCACAGCCCTTCTTGGCTGTCATATTTAAGCAGCTAGCCAGACCTTTCTTCCGCTGTCTCACCAGCTAGTTTGACCTGCCAATCTTTAGATCAGAAGCTGATTAAAAAAAAACTACTCACACAACTCAGATTGCTTGATCGCCCCATAAAAGGCTGAAGAGAGGAACCCTATCCACAGTATTTTATTGGCTATTATAATGATATTAATGTTGTTGTTAAATGCTGTCAAGTCATAGACGACTCATAGTGACCCTGTGATCGAAAAACCTGAACACTTGTATAACTTTCATCCTTCTTCCACGCTCATAGAGTTTCTGGAGGCAGGCTATTTCAGAAGTGGGTGCATCCAAATGATATTAATGATACTGTTTATTAATACTGATCATATTCCATTTTCTGTTAACAGAAAGTGTAAGTTACTAAACAATATCATTAATATCACATGCAAGTAAAATCTTGCAGAAGATTATTTAAAAAGGGCTAGAACAGTATATTGGGGGAACTGCTAGGAATTCAAGCTGGTTTCAGAAAAGGCCTTGGAATGAGGGCTAGCATTGCTGATGTCGGACGGGTCTTGGTTGAATGCACCCACACCTCTTGACTTGGTTACAATACAGAGTACCTGAGAGACGCTTACCTGTGCTTTATTGACTATGCAGAGGCATTTGACTCTGTGGACCATAACAACTCTTTTTTGTTTTTGTTTCGACCATAATAAATTTTGATTAACAAAAGAAAGAATGGGGATCTCAGAACACTTAATTGTGCTGATGCAAAATCCATACATAGATCAAGAAGCTGTTGTCAAAATAAAACAAGGAAACACTGCTTGGTTGATTTTGGGTCCCCCCCCCATTTTTTAGAAAAAAAGATGTGTGCATCAGGGCTGTATCCTTTCTCCATTCCTATTCTGCCTGTATGTGGAGGAAATCAAGAAGCTAGACTCTAGGAAGAAGAATGTGGCATCAGGATAAGAGGAAGACTCATCAACAACCTGCATTATGCAGATGACACAAACTTGCTTGTAGAAAGTAAAGACTTGAAGCACTTGCTGCAGAAGATCAAAGACCAAAGCTTTCAACATGGATTACATCTCAGCATCAAGATGACGAAAGTCTCCACCACTGGACCATCAATAGGCAACATCATGACAGATGGAGAAAAGATTGACGTTGTCAAGGATTTCGTTTTACTTAGATCCATAATCAATACTCACGGTGATAGTGGTCAAGAAATCAAAAGACTTGATGTACTGGGAAAATCTGCTGCCAAGGACCTCTTTACAGTGTT